AGTAATTAAAAATAATTTTTTACCAAAGGTCCAATTTCGAACTTCGTAAGCCCATAGCTCGATTTTGGAGGCTAACTTCGAAAAACGGGGAAATTCCTTTTTTACTTATGACTCAATCACTTAAAAAAAAATTGGTTTAGTCCAATACTCAGAAAAAAGTTGATTTGGTCGTATTGTGTTATCGATATCGACAAAAACACTTATTAAACGTCGGCTTAATTATATAAGTTAAGAATAAGCTACCTTGTTTGCGCGATGACACAAGGAAATTTTGGAAAATTTAAATATTAGCTTTTATTACAGATGCTATAGGGGGTCAAAGGTCAGATCTTCGAAAAATTAAAAAACATTATATTTAAAAAAAAAATTGAACTGATTTTTGAAAAATTTGTGGCACCTGTAATATAGGTTTGTGCAAAAAAGTTATATACCGCTTAAATAAGAGCAAAAAGGCGTACTACGACTATGGTTTTATTTCTTTAGTTGTTTACATACAGTAATTAAAAATAATTTTTTACCAAAGGTCCAATTTCGAACTTCGTAAGCCCATAGTTCGATTTTGGAGGCTAACTTCGAAAAACGGGGAAATTACTTTTTTACTTATGACTCAATCTCTTAAAAAAAAATTGGTTTAGTCCAATACTCAGAAAAAAGTTGATTTGGTCGTATTGTGTTATCGATATCGACAAAAACACTTATTAAACGTCGGCTTAATTATATAAGTTAAGAATAAGCTGCATTTTTTGCGCGATGACACAACGAAATTTTGGAAAATTTAAATATTAGGATTGTGCTAAAAAATCTGATGCCGTAGATACGAAAAAACAGGTTTGTCAAACTGTAATATTGAAGAGCCTGTATTTGTTTACAGCTGTTTTGCTATACAAATCTTGGCACGAATCCAAACTATTCGTATGGCAATGTTGTATAGCTTTTTTCCTTAAATTTTATAAATATTATTATTTTTCTCAACAAGAATAAATATTTTTATCAAAATCTTGAAGCATTTGACATTTGAGCTTCGCTATAAATGCACGATCCTGTTATTGAATTAATTATTTTTCATTTACTCTAGAGAAATTATTTAACTTCTTTCTTAACATAAATGGGAAGTATCAATCAATTGCAATTTAGTATTATTTTAGTCGATTTTAGTATCTAGTTTCACTTGAATTTAGCCGTACGACCTCAAAAATTCTATTTGGAAGCGAGTTTATTAATTTTTTTAAGGTATCCATTGACAAGTTGAACCAGGCTTGAAGTATGGCTGTTTTCAGCTCCGGTATGGACATGTATTGCTTGCCGTTTGCATATACTTCCCTAGAGACGATTCCCCATACATTCTCAATAGGATTTAAGTCCGGGCTTTTTGAGGGCCAGTCCATAATGGGTATTTGCCTTGAGCTAAAGAAGTCCTTTGAATTCCGAGAAACATGTATGGGAGCATTATCCTGCTGGAATGTAAGCTCTTTATAAGCGAAATCCTCTAAAAATCCAATTAGAACATCCTCCAATAAATCAGTATACATTTTGGAGTTCATACGCGATGTTATGAAGCACAAAGTTAACTTTCCCTAGTACGAGAAAGCACCCCAAACCATAACTGAGCCACCGGCAAAGTTTCTGCTTAGCCTAATTGAGTTATCTGACCTCAAATCGTGCCAGTAATAACTCAGACCATCTGGAACGTCTAAATTAAACTTTTTTTCGTCGGAAAAGATAGCGTTTTGCCAATTTTCCTTCCAATGCATGTGTTGTTGTTTTGCGAATTCCAACCTGCAATGTTTGTGCTGTGTGGTAAGCTGCGGACTTTACATGGTTTTTTCCACTTAATGTTCTGATTTGATTTTAAAATTTGTTGAACACGCCGTTTTTCAATTGCTAAATCGAGTTCACTAACAATTTGAGATGTACACAGTCTACTTTTTGCGGCCTTTTCTTTCATTTGGTTGATTTGCCTACGACTAACTTTTTGATTGCGTTTACTTTTCTTTGAACAGAGGGCATACATTTTGCCCACTCGCAAGGAATTCCTTACCACATGGTCAGAACGATTGATTTGACGAGAAATTTCTCGTATTGATATATTATTTTCATAGAGACACGGAATTTTTGCTTTTTCTTCACTAGTGAGGAATTTGCCTTTTGCCATAGTGATTTCTAACAAAGAAACTAAAAATTCGTTAATCGCTTACAAGTAATAAAAAGAGAAATTTACTTGCAAGTTTAAATTTCCCTCCAAAGTTACTTCCGCAAATGACTGCGCCTAAAGAGCGAAATACACCACACAAGCGGCTTGTCAAACATTCTTCAAACCTACTTTTCCCATTTCGCCATACACCATGCAAACATGACTCGTTCAAGCAAAGAATTTTAGTTTTCTTCCAGTTCGCAATGCTAAATATTGTGGTTTTCTTTCATTTTCCTCTCTTACGTCCTTACTCGGTGAAAATTTCGTTGCGAATGAGGCGATTTTGCTATACACAACGCAAGCGGTTTGATCAAACATCAACATGGCGGCCAGAAAATCAAAAAAATTTGATTTTTGCTCAAATTTCCCTCAAGCGGTTTGTCAAACCTTCAAACACCCCCATACACAGCACAAATGGCTTGAAGCAAAGGGAAATTTCGCTTGGTTTGTCAAACCGCTTGTGTGGTGTATTTCGCTCTTAAGTAAACTTCGTACTTTAAAGGTACGTTGTTTGAAAAAATTTGTCTTAAGTGCCGTTATTCAATCCCGTTATGTAAGACAGTACACCCACTGAGCTGGAAATACACTACGTCACACTTGGCAAACTAAACAGTGACCAGTTGTTTTAAATATAATTGTGAATGCACATACATGTGCATGCGTCTAATATGGTAGACAGACGGAGAAAATTAATTTGAATTAATAAGCATAAATGCAAATTAAAATTTTACCCTTACAGACGGCAGTAATGCGAATAAACCAGCCGCAAGGTCGTGGGTTCGAGTCCCAGTATACTTTTTTTTATTTCTTTTTCATTCTTTTTTTTATAAGTTCTATATTTTTTTTACGATACTTTCAGTTAGTTGTTGTTGAATTATTAACAAAATTCATTTCTAAAAATTAAAATTAACTAATAGTAAACTAAGAAATGTGATATAAAATAAATCAAATGAAAATAAAATAAAGTAAAATTAAATATATAGATAAAATAAAATAAAAAAATATAAAATAAATAATAAAAACAAAAAACGTTTCGAATCGCTCCAACCGAGTATCGAACCTAGCAGCTACAGACCTGTAGCTCGCAACTCTCACCACTCGGCTAGGGCGCACGCGAACTCGACTGCTTCGTTTGCTTACTTGTACAAAAGACAACAACTGGCCGTTTTTACCAATGTTGTCATCGAAAATTCCCCGGATCCGAGTTAATTCCCAAAAATTTCGTGCATTTGTTCGGCTGCTTATGCGCATTTTAAAGAGGAAAATGCATGAGTGAAAGCAAATAAAGGCTGTTTATGCAAATAATCGAGCCCGTTTGTCAACCGTATAAGTAAACTACGCGCACTGTATTTACCCACTGAGGCGCGCGTCTTTCAAAATTTAACGCTTCTAGATGAAGGCCTACCCAAACAACATGATACTTCGAGTTTATCACACAGCTAAAATTTCACACTCAACTGAAATTTTACACACTTTTCCCATGAATTAAAATTTTCAAATGCATCAATTCATTATATTATATTCTGGCAATGATATTTCACGATATTCAGGGAAATTGAAATATTTTCGGATTTAAAATATCTCACTCATCATTTTTTACAGTCGAATATTATGAAAATGCATGTTTCCACAAAACTTAAAAGTCTATTGGAAAGAACCTAAAAGTCTATTGGAAAGCACGAGGAAATACTTATTTATACATATGCTTATGTATGTGTAGAAATTCATTTACAATTATGTGACAGTATTATAGGGCGTTTATGTGGAACGAGAAAGCTGCAACTAGCACATTTAGCTCTAAATGCAACTCTAAATCTATCTGAATGCAATTAAATGCTACCTCTTTTCAGCATTAAGCATCTAACTGCTAACAGCAGCTTTGTAGTCTTCGAAAAATACCACAATTCGAACAAGGCTTAATGAAAAAAGTGGTAATATTGCTTCTTTACGTTCCGGATACAGATTTTGTACTCAAAAGCAACAACAACGCTGTGATTCTGATAGAGATCTGGTTCAATTTATGATCCGTTCTGTTTGTTTTGTTTCACTGATCATATGGTAGCAAAGACAAGTGAATATAGTATATACTACGAACAGATATTCTGACAATGTTTATTTTAACTTGCTTCAAATAATTCGCCTTCATGTTAAATATTTATTTAAATGAAAATTATTTTGTTTAGATATACTTTTCCTCCATTGAGTGTTTAGTAAAACTGATATGAAAAGTTAGTGTTACCAACCCCACCAAAAATTATCAAAAAATACTAGTTTTTTACAGAGTATTTACCAGTTGCGTTTCTTTCATTGACGATTGATACATAATTTATTATTTTATGTTATTTGGATGAAAAGTATTAACGTAAACCCAGCAAAAATATCAAAAGGGTTCAAGTGCGGAATTCACGGCACGACACTGCACAGCAAAGCTAACGAACTAGGCAAAAATGTCGTGAGGTTCTACTGCAGCGTACAGATGCCAGATCGAAAAAATCAGGGGCGGGTTTCCGTAATTCGATAGTCGACACTCGTCGGCTCGATACTTCAATTCGATATCGAATGCTTGGCGAGACCATTTTGGTTTCCGTGTTTCGATATGACCACTCTCGTTTTCATATTGTAGGAATTTGTATGTAATTTGAATGAAAACAATGTACAATTGGCGTTATTTTTTGATTTTGGACGGTTTTGGAGAGGAAAACTCTTTAATTAATAGAAGAGGGATCCGAGATGCATCTAATCCCATGGAATTGCCTGAAAAGTGGTAAGTTTAATTAATATTGTAAAAACTAAGGAGCATTCAATTTCTTTTAAATTTATTTCCATTTCTAAGCTTCCAAACAAAATATCGGCTGACCAAAGAAGTATTTATGTACGTTCTCAACGAAAAAAAATTAAGGAAAGGCATGAGAACTACATATATTCCTCCAATCATGAGACTAGCAGCAACACTGGAAATTTTAGCAGGTGGCGGGTACCAGTGGCAAACGGGAGGCGCACACACAGCACCCATGGGACCAAGCACTCTGTCGAAGATCTTTCGCGACACGTTGTCATCCATGGAAGACCATTTATGTAGCCAATGGATAGTTTATGAAAAAGACTTCCAGCCGTGTAAGGAGTGGTTCAATCAAAAATACAATTTTCCTGGGGGTAAATTCGTCGAATCAATAACTAGCTTTCTAATCTTTCTAATTTTAATCCACTGCAGTTGTCGGTGCCGTCGATGGTACGCATTTGCAGTTGCTAAAACCTGTGGAAAACGAACACATATATTTTAATAGAAAAGGCAAACATAGCATTAATGCAATGCTAGTAAGTATATATATACTTTATGTATGAAATTTCCTTGGAATTGTTTATGAATTATCGTATTGGACAATCTTTAATGTAGATCTGCGACCATAAATTAATTATAAGAGCTATATGCCCAAAATTTGGGGGGGCTGCACACGACTCGTTTGTGTGGAAGGCCTCCAATGAGAGAATGGTAATGGAGCGACGATACAACAGCGGAGATACAAATTCTTGGCTATTAGGTAAAGTCGGTGAACATTTAAAATATATTCAATAGAAAAAAACATATATTAACTTGAAAATATATCTTAAGGCGATTCTGGATACCCTCTTGAACCATGGCTAATGACCCCATACCGATTACGAGAAAATGAAACTGACGCAAGTAAATGTATCTACAATGATATACATAGCAAAGCAAGGAGCGTTGTTGAAAGAAGCATTGGGGTTTATAAAGGTTAGCATATTGCAAAATTCAGTGCTTTTTATATTAGTTTTATTCACATCGTCTACTTCAGGGCGCTGGAGGATATTATCTGACGACAGAAAGCCAAGGTATAACCCAACATTGGTTGCCAAAATTGCAAACGTGTGTGCAGCTCTGCATAATGTGTGCATCAGCCGCAATGTTCAGTTTGAAAGCAATAACGAAGCTGCAACTTCACGACAAGAAAGAGGGGTAGATACCACTCCACCAGAAATAGTTAACCGAGAAGCTGAAAGAATAAGAAATCGAATAAAAGAACATTTTTCCCAAACCGCAATGTAAAAATTATATTTGTATTGATTGTTAATAAATAAATAACATAAAACATAAACATTGTACTTCACATAAGTTATAAATTCATTTATCACTTGTTTCGCGTTTCAGCAAAGCGATTTTTACTTAACTATCTCTAAATTTAATTGTAGTGCTTGAAATTTTATTTTTCAACTCAATCTTATTGTTCTCTTTTAAAAGCATTGCATTTCATTGTACTTTACATAAGTTATAAGTTATCATTTGTTTCTCGTTTTAGCGCTTCGATTTCACACGTAACTTTCTCTAAATTTAATTGTAATACTTGCAATTTCATTTTTTTGTACTGAATTTCAGATGCAACTTGCTTTTCCATTAAATGCAGCTTATTTTCTTCAATTTCATTTTTCTCCTTTAAAAGCTTTAATATTTCAGTTTGAAATTTGTCTTGGTTTTCTATTTCTGGTTCTATGATTCTTATCTTTGGATCTACACATCTCTTTTTAGGCGTTTGTGGTACTATAGGCGTTTGTTTTAGTTTAGACGTTTGTGGTGCTTTAGGTGATGGTGGTGCCTCGCTGTCGCTTGCCGTGTCGGCCCTTCTTTTTCCTCTTGGTGTATTAGTCTCACCTGCCCCTTCATTTTCATTATTACTCGAGGATTCGCTTAACATTTCTCTTAAAGAGTCACTAACGAAAGCTTCGTCCGGTTCCGGGGCAGCAGTAGAAGAGCAAGGCTCGTCTGTTTTGGTACCATATGACGCCACGCCCGGAATGCCCATTACTTGTGCGTTTATATTTGCTGCAGCAATTACACGTTCCTCCAAATTACTTAATTTAACGGCATCATATGGCCCACCACCCGTTTTTTTAAACTATTCATTCGGGCGCTTAACTTGCGCTTTGCATTATATTTGTAGTCAGTCCATACCTAGAAATATTGCATGAATTTAATGTTACAACTAAAATCATTTGCTAAGTATTTCTATTTACTTTCTGCCATCCCTTCGTTGATTTCATCGGAGGCCCGTTGCTATTTAACATTTCCGTTAATTTGCTCCATAACTTCTTTTTCTTCTCGCGCCCATTGCTAACACATTGCAAACTATTTTTGGCTAAAGCGTCTTGCTGCTCCATAAATTCTATCATAAGCTTAAGTTGAGCAGCGTTCGTTTGTTGACTCTTAAATAAATAAAAAACGTTTAAAATCACAGAAAAATTAAAAATTGTAACTTACATTTTGGTTGAGGTTGACAGCTGCGAAAGGCAAAACGAGAGCAAAAGTGGTGTCGAACAGTTTCTATCGAATGGTCGATACAGCACGACGACATTTATCGTTAGGGAAAGCAAAAACGATACTTCGATACACGTTTTTGCTCGATATCGAATTACAGAAAGCCACCCCAGTTTTTGAATCGATTTGAATAAAAATAAAAATAAAAATAAGCGATGCAGGAAGGAATCGTCAAAATCGATTATATATTTTGTCAACGTCTTTTNACAGAAAGCCACCCCAGTTTTTGAATCGATTTGAATAAAAATAAAAATAAGCGATGCAGGAAGGAATCGTCAAAATCGATTATATATTTTGTCAACGTCTTTCACTTAATTTTTATGAAAAATCAAAACACAGCGATTCGACCAAACTTTCAATGTAAGTAATTTTTAAACATATGTACACACATTGTTCATAACGGTTTCAATATCTAGATTTATTTGAAAAAAGTGTGAGATTAGTTTCTTATATATTAAGGCAACTATATGTTTAATGCCAAATATAGTCATTATAATTTTTTTCATGTAATGCCTAGTGAAAACTCAGCGTTAGCCCTATTTAAGAAAATTTGTAAGTCTTTTCGAAATTTTTCTCTTTTATCACAAATGGAAATTTTTTTTTGTTTTCGCTGACTATATTTCACATCTTAATTACCCGTTTTAGAAAACATTTTCTACAAAACTGCATACATACCAGGGATGGGCGTAATAAAGAAAATGAATAATTGAATGAAAAAAATAAGAATAAGTTTTCATTCATCATTTAAACAATTTTGAATGACCAATAAATTCATGCAATTATCTCCAAAAAGCGTTATGCCACTTTTGTTCTTAAGAATCACCCTCTCTGGGTTACAACGACTGGATCGATATTCATTGAACTTATCAAATACTTAGAATATAAGTTAATCTTTTAACAGGTGCTAGTGTAAAAAATGCAGTGTGTATGGGAGGTGCCACGGGCTCTTTTCCAAGAACCCAAATTTTTTCCATGAGTATAGTATTGATTTCATATATCTCTATACCAAGTTACAGTAGTCTACCACATATGCTTCCAGAGGTATGCAGTATGAAGAATTCCGTTTTTATGTGAGGTGCCACGCCTCTTTATCTAATCGAGATAAAAGCTATCCTATTTTTTATGTTGGGCTAAATGACACAAGTATGCGAATTTCATTAAGATCGCTTGAGTAGTGGAAGCGTGAAAGCGTAACAAAAAAACCATTCGCAATTATATTAGTAAGGATTATCCAGTACCGACTTAAGTATATACATACATATGTTTGATGCCCTCGCTTAGTACATTACATATTTACTTAAATACATACTTATTTACATACATAGGTAGATTTTGATATTATATTTTCTAATATTTCATACACAGTAAATGTGTAACGGTCTACCTGGTACGATGATCAAGAAAGAATGACTGGGGATGTAAAAAACATCGATGTATCGAGCAACACGTTCTAATGAATCCGATTTTAAGTCAAAACATCGGTGTTTTGAAAAATTTAATCCCACCACATATATAAAAGCTTTAACAATTAATTATTATTTTTTTAAATTTAGTTAATTCTTTAACAAAAACTATATAAATCCAATTTCATATTGTTTGCAATATTAAAAAATATAGCAAGCTTTCATAAAAACATCGGTAAAAACATCGATGTTTTAATTCGATACATCAAACTACCATCGATATAATTTTTCGAAACGTGGATTCTTCAAACATCGATAGTCTCATTGTGATTTAGAACCCTAGAATTACTGAATATCTAATAAATCAAAAATTATTCGTTGATCGGTACTACTTCAATCATGAATGAAAATGTATTCTTCAATCGAAATCACCTGAATGATGAATAAAAATGTATTCGTTATTTGAAATTTTTTGATGATGAATCAAAATTTATTCGTCGTTCGAAAGTACTTGAATGAAGAATAAAAATTTATTCATCATTCAAAAATAGAAAAATTATGAATAAAATTTCATTTTTTATCTGAGTACCGCCCATCCCTGATACATACTCAAATTTTTTCTAAAATTAGTAATTAGTTTGGAATTACACTTTTTGGAGTTTTTGTTGTAGTATTCGCCATAATTTTATTATTTTATTTTTAAGAGCCTTCCCTATAGTTCGAGGAGAAAGATAGGTAGGTCATTGAATTCTTTGTTCTTTTCTCTTTCAAGTAATTTTTTTTGGTACCAGCCTCAAATTCAAATTTCTTTAAATTTTATAGATTTTATGGGGCATCAATTGACGAAAAATCGAATGTCGATTTTCCAATTTTTTGAATCAATTCACGGATCGAATCGGAACTAAAAAATCTACAAAAACGAAACGAAAGGGCGCGATTAATCGATCATCGATTTAATCTATTTAAAAACGGCATCTCTAGTGCAGCGTAGTACGGTATGTTCCATAAGAATACATTCGAAGAATATTTTGCTGTGCAGTGCATTATTAACAACGTCAAATGAAATAGAAATTTTGCTGCCAAGTATCGTTTCGCTGCAGTTCAAGTGCGGTATAGAGAACTTGTGCAGTTGTCCAATAGTGCGATTTTACCTTAAATTTTCATATGTATGTATGTATCTATGCATTTATTTAAAGGAAGTTACATAATTCCTGCTCATATGTACATATGTATTTATGTTGAAAGAGACAGCAAATAAAGTCATAAAATACAAAATCAGAATACTGTTGACTTATTTTAATATCTATTGCAAAACTTTACGCAGATAAGATAAAAAAAATAAAAAAAAAAACAAATAAAAAACTCTTTAATACGCCACGTTTCTATAAGTGAACTAAAAGTAAAAATTTATAAAATGAAAAACGTGGGGCGCATGTAATATAACTGAAGTGATATAATTCATTAACAACCGCGCATTGAAATTTTATATCGCCTAAATAGACCTATATTTTCTACTGCGCAAGTATCATTTTGCCATAGATTTTAACCGCTTGATGTAATCAGTTTGTAAATAATCGGTATTTCGTATACTTATATACTATATCACATTTCATATAAATTCAAATCGATTACATAAATTGTATAAAATGACTATTGTTAAAAATTTTAAATAAAAACGTATCAAGACAAACTCTATGGATTCATGTGTTTTTCTTTTTTAATCCACTTATAGAAGCGTGTTATATTCAAAAGTTTTTTTATTGGATCTTTTTCTGTTTTAGTAACTCTAATGTTTTCTTGTTCTCCGTGCTTATTGAACGTGATAAACACGTATGTAGCTGCACCCAGAAAAACTCAGCACATGATTTGGTTATACATAGATACATTATTTGGTTATATACCAAATCATGTGTTGAGAGACATATTTTTAGCTGATTTTTTTCTGGGTGTGAATAAGCGACCAGAGCGCGACTATTTATGAAAAACATGATTTAGAACTCGCGTTAATGTACATTAATTTGTTAAATGGGGCACTCTGAACACTCTACGAAAACCACTGTTCGAAATTGCTGAAAGTGCATTAAACTTTCAGCATAAACGCTGCATAAGGCAGGTGAAGCAATAACATTATATCCAATGCAAAGACGGAGAGCAGCAGAGGAAACCTGCAACCGCAGCCACAGTAAATATCCCAAAATGAACAGATATGCAGAAAGGAGGAAAGACGATGAGAAGAAAAACGAATTTCCGTTTTTCCTGTCGTTTCACCAAAGGTTTCCTTCGCGGAAGTGATGCTGTTTGAGGGTGAAATATAAATTCCGTCAGGCGCTAAAG